GGTATGACGGCCACTGAAAATTCGCCAGTCAATACCATGAGAAAATCTTAGGTCTGTTATTTCTTTTCGTAAAATGTACTATACAGGTCCTCAACTCAGATGAGATATACTGCATGATATTTCAAAAATACCGTTTCAGTTATTGTTTACTGCATAGTGGCTGAATGGCAACTGACCATGCTCGTCACTGATCTGCTCTCCTGTTTTGGGGATCAAATTATTTCCCCTCCCTCTGTTGATGAAATTGAAAATATCAAATGTACGATGACTCCGCAATAAACGCCCGTTACACGAACAAAATCAAACTTTAAACGAGCTAAGCAAAATTGGGATACTTGCCTACCTGGGACACAATCATCACTTTAGTTACGCTGCACCCATATCACAGCATAACCCAGTAACCTTCTTTTGGATGTTAAAATCTTCGGATAAATTGTTGTAAGACACGAGTCGGAAGATCGAAATTAAATAGATTAGTGTTCTGATTACCTCGCACCAATATTCCTAGCTTTTTTGTATCACATCTTCAAAAATTACAGCCTGCTTATTTTGGTCCAGATGAACATCACCGCCAGCTGACTTTATTGTATGCTCAGTAGTTCATGTTACTATATTTAGAAATGACTGCGTTGTTGGGGTCTGTCCAGAGCATCTCTTCTAAAAAAGTTCTGGCATAACTTGCTCAGATAACAATCGTTCAGACAGCATAGGTAAATAGATGCGGTTGAGTTACATCTCGCTGGATATCGTGGTGTATGATTTAACGGCCGTTGGCTTGTGTTGGGCTGCATAATTGGATTGTAAACGTTTTATCGACAATCGAGATGACAGCAGTGCGTTATTAGGGCCTACAGTTGAGCGTAGTGATTGATCCCATCACCTTGTCATTTTCAAACCAAACCGCTGCCGACAGCTTTAGCTGAGATGTAGCGCAATCACTTGAAGTTTATTTCGGCCACCTCACGTATGACCTGACCGTGACAGTAACGGGAGAGTAGACCATCCTCAAGTAAATGGCAACAGCTCGTGCAGAATCGCTGCGCGGTTTCCAAGGTTTGTATTGCACCATCATTTCTGATAGCCTTTAGTTCGAAAGTCTTAGTTGAGAGAAAAGATAGACAAACAATTGTCCCAAATGCAGAAAAATGGAATGACAGAGTAGAAGAGGGCTGACAACCTCTGTGTTTTCATATTAATCGGATAAATTATGGCGCATTTACGCCGGGCAAGCTGCACTCACCTTTCTAATGGTAGTCTCACGTAGTTTAGATCTTATAGTTGTGTGCGTATCGAAGCAGCCATGTGAAATACAGCCTATGGAGCTTTTGAAGATGGCCCATAGGTCTAATGCAGTGATGAAAATGGGAAAAGTGGCGACAAAATCGGTGTGCATTCAAATAGTCCTGCATTTTTCAATAATAGTTATCAAGAATGACCCAGGACATCTGACCTGCATAACGAATGTCAGGACATCTATAGCGTATCCCGATTTTCTATTTTCAGGACTAGTTCTGATAAAAAGACGGTGATCTTGTCGCATACAGTTTAGCATGCTCTTGATAACCCGGCTAGCACACATAAGCCTCGGTAAAACGCTGTGCACAATATGCAGGTCAGATGCGACGATTAAGCTTAGAGTAATTGTAGGGTCACAGACGGTATATTTCATACACGATAAGGGATGCTGATAGTGATGTCGAAGGTTTTGGTGAAGTATCCTCCACCTGAATGCAGGGTGGTGCGTTGGTAACAACCAGGCGAAAATTCCACGTGTTAATCTGTGTTAGCTTGGAAACACGAATACGCGGACTCATATACGGATTTCATCCAGCTAGGATTCATTTTGGAGCCTAAAACTGTCAAAAAGAGGGGGCTTTACGCTAGATGACACCAGAACCACCGCTCCATTGGCATCGTTAGCTCAGATGGTTAATTCCTAAATTTCACCAAGCGGTCAATTAGACTGAAATGTAGTGTCTGCGCAACTTCTGCAAAAACTCTCCACCCCACCATTTCTTTGACTAGCGGGATTCTTCTGAATGGTCCACAGAAGAGGGGAGTGGTGGAGTTGATCTTCACCTTGTTTGCACCTCTGCTACTACAGGCGATGTGAACCTGTCACCGCTTCGCAGGAGTACAAAGACACAAACAATTGTATTGGAAAGTTCAAGAAAGGTTCACACATGGAGCTTTTGAAGGTGGCCGTGCTTTCATCTCTGGACATCCAGTTAAAAAATACAGTGTACTCATAATTATTTGATTTGAATTGGAAGTCCAAGTGTTATCAGGTATTGTTAGGATGACGGGAACCTACCGGGATCATTTTTGGGAATCGTTTTCGCCCCTTCGTTGGTTGACTTCAGTCTCAACACCGGAAACTGCTACAAAACTGCCACCTCGATACACCATGATCATATTCGAAAGATTCCTGTCGGTTGGATGGCAGCTGTCACGCGGAAACCCGCCGATGGGCAGCAGCGTCTATGAATGATCTTCAGTAACGTTTGTTCGTAACTCAGGTCGGGTAAACCGCTAAATTGCCAAAACTTGGAGAATGCCATCACACCTGGACTGGCGTGCTGTGGGAAAGCTGGCCATTTGGTGATATGGACAAGGAATGTATTCACAGGGATGCATATGTAATCTGTGTAGGCCGTCTGTCAGCCAACAGTAACATGGGTGGTGGAGTCGCCACTTTTGCATTTATCCCCTAGATTTTCCTTACGAACTATGCACTACCTAGTTCCTATAAATCTCTTGTGATGACAGATCTATGTAGTTCAACTGCTTTTTTAACCATGAATATGGACATTCTCAGGCTCTATATTGAAGTGATATTATACACGGATCAGGTTTTATGGACCCGTCAGTGATTGATTACTTTCTTAGTTTTATTTGTATTGTTGATATTTCCACGAGAATCGATGCTCAATTAGACTGACAGTAGTCATCAACACCGTATTCTCCATGGGAAGACACAACAATGGTCTCCTTCAAGTTACTTCTGAAGAGTGACCACGGCCTTCATAACAGCTATTTGAGAACCTAAACAAATAGATGACGAGACACCAACAGGTGAAGGATAGGATTTTGTTCCAGAGCACTCAATCTATTATCATAATGGATACAAAAATTGTGAGCATTTGGCCTGACCTGTGCTGTCGTATGGAGGCAATTTACACAAGAACCAACAGATTTTCATGTTCTCTCCTAATGTAGTTCTGGAGGAAAAACGATCTCAAGGGATAGTCGGTAACAAAGAAGTCAAGTAGCTAGGTGAACAACAATTGAACGATCCCAGGTAGCTACAAGGTTTCCAGACAACCCGCCGCCTGTATTTGGTATCCCCCCACAAGTGGCCAGTAGTATCAGGCGATGTTGTTCACCGGTAACCTAAGAACTCACTTCTGGGAAAGCTGGCCACCCCAGCCTTTCATAAGTGCTGGACTAGTGATATTCGATGTACACTACTCACGAAGTTGCTGAAATTTTTTCGATAGCTCACGACCGTTTTTGCCATTTTTGGGGCTCATCAGGTAGGCAGTCCCCAAGTTTCCATCAACATTTTGTTGTGCTTGAAACCGAATTGCACGCAATTAGCGAAATGCACTCATTTGCGAACCAATTTGGTTTTGCGAGAGACTCACCTAGAACCCAGCAGAGTCTCCCGTTTGCGATGTGTTCTCAGGCAAGTGAGTGTGCTGCATGCACCAGGCCGCCTCATGTTTCAGTTGCGATGATATTCGAGATATCGCGATACATGTATATCTCATAAGGTTGCTGAAAACTCTTCGACAGCGCACGATCGGTTCCGCCACGCGTCTCTCGCAAAACCAAAATTTGTTTGCAAATGAGTGCATTTCGACAATGGATTCATTGTTTTACAGACGTTCTATAGTTAAGAAACTGCAAAACTGTTGCATATCCACGAGTCTTTGGGGAGCTTCATGAGACCTTCCTTAACTCTCACTAAATTCGAACTATCTGCCTAGGAAGGGAAAAGCCCTGACGATCGCACAGATCTTTTGAAAGGTCGATTTTTGAGAAGGCAGCCAATGCTGGATCATGGGCTTCGAAATGCACGTTTAAAGGATGACAGTGTCGTATCCTAAGTCCAAAATAATCGCATTAATGCTCAAGCACTCGCGGCCCATTGGTATGTGCATAGTTGCTGACGGGAAAGGCAAGGGTGAGATGCACAATTATGATGAACCTCACCAAAGATGAAACCGATCCAAAGTGTTCTTGGCTTTTCAGCGTCGACCGACTGCATTTGCAGGAAATTCCACATGAAACACCCGAACAACCTGACGAACTTTGGGACATTTGTTTTTGCTCGAACCACTACATCCGATGCGGTATTGCATCCTTGTCCACTGAACTGTAACCGTGTGGATGCGTGGTCAATCAGCTTCATTTATCGGTCGATTAATTATACCAAACATAAGATCAGTTCACTTCGAATGTCTAGTTAGCGTTCGCATCTAAAGACCAACAAATTTAGTATCCTGCATAGGATTGAAAGTAAGCTGTCTGAGCGAACTGTTTACGAAATCTACACTTGGCAAGGAATTTACGGTGTAAATGGTCCTTGAATTTTTTTAAAAGAATCGTTCAGCTGTAACACACTTCCAGCGCCTAGCTGCGAGGCCATCCGAAAGAAGCAGGAGGGTTGAGATACTGCCAGGTTGCCCAAGTCTAAACAGGGAAAGTCGAGACGCAGAGGTCGCGTTCGGAACACGGACCTTCCAGTCAGTAAATTCGTGCTCTAACCACCTGAGTCTTCTAAATAAAGCGAACCGGAGCTTCACATGATTGATACACTTGATAAGTTCGCCTCAAGCATTCCACATACCTCCACGTTCAAACCCTTATTGTTTGTGCTTATTGATATTTCACTGCGAATTTCTAAACCCTCGTTGGCGGCTGCCAACATCGAATGCGGTGACAAAAATATACTTATCACTTCTTGCCGATAAAGTGAGTGTAGAATAATAAGGCTGCAGGATACTTGTATACTGGCACGTAAACAATTCTGCGACAGAATGGTTGAAACTGGGAGATTACGGCACAAACGGAGCCCTGAAAGTTGCTGTTGAGACCGATTCACCTGGTCATACTCTCAAAGTATACACACAGATTACGGGCACAGCTGTAGCTGAGGAACTGTATGGAACCTTGACCGTTTCACTGACATACGGTATAAACAGTTACGGAGAGGTTTCTTCGTTACCGTGAGGGTCAGACCAATCAGAGTTCAATGGAGAACTAACTCCAGATGGTCACATTGGATGGAATTTAAGAAGGAAGGAGATCAGGCATGGACAAACTTGAATGACTTGGAGATGGGGTAAAGCAATGTACTGAGGGAAGCGGAATGTGAAAAAAATCAAAAGCGGAGTATGAAACGCGGCAAGAAACGGGGAAAAACTGAGAGCTCGATGTGATGATAACATTGATGGGCAGGGCAGCTGACATGGACTACAATGTGTGATCCCAGTACAAAAAATATAACCCAAAGGAGAAAAACAACGGAAGCTAGAATTGTGCGGCCGGATACAGCAAACAAGGTGGGTACGTAGAGCGCGCTTAATTTTCCCAATTAATGCCTGGAGATCACAGACAGGATAGCATGAAACAAGATCGATTGAGTAACAGTTGCTAGGGTGGCGAAACCTCGTCACGGGCAAGGAAGCGCTGCCGTGCTCTGTCAAGTAATGACCTTCTTTGTAGAGCCAAAGGGGTTCCGGTCGACTGGTCATCAACAGTGTGGGACTGAAGCGGATCCTCTTGAATTTCTGGCGGAGTAGACTGCCTCAGTGGACCTGCCTGCAGTACACGAACCTAGAAAAAAGAAAGGATTATTTAACACAACATAAAGTCTATTGAACAAACTGAATTTGAACGAGGGTAACACTTCACATTGCAGAAATCAGTCCTCAGGACTTGTTAGTTGTTATCATTCCTTTAGCCAATTCATTACAGATGTGTATGACCCCCGGCATGTGCCATGTGCACGATTGGATACACTCATAATATAAAGGGGGATTGGAGGACGTACAGAGATAGGCCGTGGAATGTAAGGTTCACTAGTGTCTAAAAGGGAATCAGATTGACCAAGAAGATCGAAAGCTCGGGTTTGCCAACTATTCGAATACATTCACCGAGTGAAGCGTGAACTCAGACAACAATTAGAGTTCATCCACGCGTTTGGGCAGCATGATATACACCAGTTACCACATGTAGCAAGTGATGCAGTTAATCGGTCTAACCACTAATAAGCACCCCATACACACAACCCACTGTATAGACTCTCAAGACAGAAGCACAGTGGACTGTATTGTCAGTGCAACGTACGCATTTAATTTATTGACGCATGTCACGTAAACTTGAACACTGGATGTGCTTCAATTGACGGTCAATCCATATGCAGCCAGAAGACAGTAAAGACTCAATCTCCGAGAGATTCTGCTAATTGAATAAGCAACAGAATCTTGCGAGGTCACGGAATATTCTAAAGAAGTACGCCACTACAAATCGATTCAACACATATGACTTCAGGTACGGCAATTTATTTAAACGTACAGAACATTATGGATGATTATCCCCAGTACATGAAAAAAGAGCACCTCACCGGCTTGTTCATCCTCATACTCCTCATCATCATTATCATCAGCGAGTAGCGCCGAAAGTACCCAAACATTTCGTGATCCTTGTAACAGACCTCTGTCAGGTCAAAAATTGGTCACCACTCCGCTTCGGTCATTCTGAATGGGGCACCAAAAACAGCACCCACTTTGGCAAACGGTGGCTCGCCATGCGCAATACATGGCCTAACCAACGCAGCCTCCGATGCTGGACATATTATTTAACGGAAGTCCCCATTGCACAACCGGAAACTCGTTTTTCAAGTGCAGTAGCGGCTTGTCACCGGCAAAACTCACAGTATTGTGAAAAGCGGTGGTTATCACGTTCATGTGTGAATTCATATCTGATCGTGGGGCAGTTGAGAGAGATTCCAAAAAATGATTCTGATAAATCCGCCTAATATCCGGACCTGCCAGTTTCATAGCTGCCAAGTCATTTGTCCACACGTTACGCAGCCGTGAAAAATGAAGGGAGAAGCGACTTTGGACGAGCACGTGGTCGGAATCCATAATTGTGTTCCAAAACGAGCGATAGTCAATTATTGATCTGCACTATCGCTAACTGACGGCAATGTGATCAGTTTGAGTTCGCAGCCGGCACGCTGTTGCAGCATACCATATGGACAGACGACTTAGGTTATTTCGAAACATGGTACTGCATAAAAAAAGCAAACAGCCCCGGCAATCGTACACTATTGTCCGTACCTATCGAGGCCAAACTTCGTCGACCACCTAATTGAATCTCAGATTGGCTAAGCCTGCCCACTTGTGCAATCAGATCTTCGGCAACCATTACGATATAGCTATTCCGTTTTGTGGATCGGAGGTCTAACCGAACCCCTGGAAAACCCAGTTACAACAGGCCCATTACTAAATAATTATCAGATTTCCCGAGAGCATTATCCGCTAGTAACCGAGTTTTATGAATAAGTAAACCGTTGATCAGATATAAAATCACACATATTGTACTACAAGCTTCACCACCACTTTTATTGTGGAAGCAGGGAAACACTAAGAATTTATTGACCAGGACCATTAGAAAACCACGTAGATTTGTTGACCTGCATCACCCAGGGCGAGTTAACTGATGGGGATGACTGAAGTGAAGATAAAGAAAACGGACATGGAACGACATCCGTCATGAATGAAATGCAACGGTAGCGCACAAATGCCACACTGCAGGAGATGAACGTACCCCTGGTACCGATCCTCTTGGTTGTGGTTGAATGGGACGATGAATCAGATTCTCTACAGTAACTTCGGGCAGACCAGTCGCCAGCAAGTCAGCGACGATAACGGAAAGAGGAAATTGCGGGAACATTGCAGATATTTCTTGGGCCGCCACACGCAAGTTGGATGGTAGTCGAATGAGCTCATAAGCCTCCGCATCGAAGGTATCAGTTAACTCGGACCGATTAACATCTTGCTCCTCGACAGAAGGAAAGGCGGAGTTTCGCTGTTCTGCCGTAGCAGCTGTTTGCTCGGTCACCTGGTCCGTACTTCCACTGGCAAACACTTCACGAATAACCTAAGTAAGATTAATAAAGTCAAAAAAGGACACTGCTTGATTAAAGGAGAATAGTCACAGAATCCTCAGAGTAAAAACCAGCCAGTTTGATTAGAATTCACGGTGAAAGTCACGGTTAGCGACATCATAAACGAGAGAATTAGCTGGGTTTTAGGTAAATCTCCCGTCAAAACCAAACTGGTATGCAGATAAGTGTATAAGTCAGATTTCGTGCAATTTAGATTCAAGTAGAACATGAGGTTGACGGAAACTCAGGGACTGGGCCTAACTGATGAGCCCCAAGAAAGGTGAAACCCGTCGCATGTTGACTGATGAGCCCCAAGAAAGGTGGAACCGGTCGCATGTTACCGAAGGGTTTTCAGTAACCTTATAAGTAAAGTGTTAGGTGCGTAGAATAGGTTGGAGGTTCACTTGAATCAGTTATACAAACATACCTCTTGCAGAAGCCTTCAGTGGAAGATATGTCAGCGATATCACTAGAGTAATTGTTTTCTGGAGCAAGGTGATGATGTCAATACTATTTCATTTTGAAAATAAGCTAGCAACTACTTCGTAGATTTCATGGGTGTCCCCTGTTCCTGGACCGGTGTTAATCCACTATCCAGTAGCTGTGGCACTATATCGTGAAGTTCTACCCATCCATAGTCAGTGAAATCGAATTCGATCAGCATCACATAGATTGGGGTTTGTACTGCAAGGTGTTAGGCTGCTGTAATTAGAATACCGATGAATCTACGCGCCATACAACAACCCCTCTGTTACTATTATTATCATTTATTTTTGAAGAGCACGGTCACAAACATAAAAATTGAATGCAAGCTATGAATGCGAAAGAGTAAGAGGAGAATATGGCGCGT